CACAACGGAGTTGAACACGAAACTGATGCCGGCGCGCTTTCCCGTCAACAAATTATGGCATTACGAGCAGTGCATATTGGGTAAGTTAACGACTGAAAATGTCTTGTTTAGCTTTGAAGACTAGAGTAGTTTTGACGCCTATTTTACACACTGAAGACGTAAGCACAAGCTTCTTATGTTGTTTTTCGGTCGCGGCCGGCCGGTAAAGCTTATGTAATCGAGGATTTTTTAGGAAAAAAAATTATAAAAGAGAGTTCCAAAACAAAAGGCTGTCTTTCGGTACTTGTCACAGTCATTTAATAAGAAGAACAGAAAATTTCGTACACTTGACTGATTAGATGTCGTCAAAGCTACATTTAGCTGTGGGGCTCGAGGCAAATTTAAACGAATTGAATGAAGTGTGTCTCATCGATAATAGTCGCGGCCTTTCGCCGTTGATTGCATGTTTATGTGTTTTTAGGGTCAAACTCAGAAAACTTTAGCTTCCAAGTCCCGTTATTAGCAACAACATAAAACCTCCTCGATAACGCGATTTGATGCACTGTGATGCCTCGGGGTAGACCTCCAAACTTGTCTACTGACATACGGTGTGCGTATTCCTGCGCTTGCGTTCGAAGAAAAGAGATTCAACATGGTAACCCGGTTTATAAAGCCCGAGTGGTTAAAGTCCACAGTAAATTTACATAATGTGCCACAGTGTAACGTACTTGATTGGACAATCAAAGANGACGCGCTTTCCCGTCAACAAATTATGGCATTACGAGCAGCGCATATTGGGTAACTTAACGACTGAAAATGTCTTGTTTAGCTTTGAAGACTAGAGTAGTTTTGACGCCTATTTTACACATTGAAGACGTACGCACAAGCTTCTTATGTTGTTTTTCGGTCGCGGCCGGCCGGGTAAAGCTTATGTAATCGAGGATTTTTTAGGAAAAGAAAAATTATAAAAGAGAGTTCCAAAACAAAGGGCTGTCGTTGACTTTCGGTACTTGTCGCAGTCATTTAGTGAGAAGAACAGAAAATTTCGTACACTTGACTGATTAGATGTCGTCAAAGCCATATTTAGCTGTGGGGCTCGAGGCAAATTTCAACGAATTGAATGAAGTGTCTCATCGATAATAGTCGCGGCCTCTCGCCCTTGATTGCATGTTTATGTGTTTTTAGGGGCAAACTCTGAAAACTTTAGCTTCAAGTTCCGTTATTAGCAACGACATAGAACCTCCTCGACAACGCGATTTGATGCACTGTGATTCCTCGGCGTAGACTTCCAAACTTGTCTACTGACATACGGTATGCGTATTCCAGCGCTTGCGTTCGAAAAGAAAAACTCCCATAAAGTAACCCGGTTTATAAAGCCCAAGTGGTTAAAGTCCACAGTAAATTTACATAATGTGCCACAGTGTAACGTACTTGATTGGACAATCAAAGATCTACCCATGGCGCCATGTTGTCACGTTGGTTTCACGTGAACCTGTACTGTGCTAATACAGGTCAGGCCTGTTGAGATAAAACAGAGAATTGTTTTAAG